TTTACTTTGGAAATGTGACAATCACTGAATACTGCATATGATAGATATCTATATTATTTATTTCTGTTTATACATTTCATGTGTGTTTTTTGTCATCAGATCATAACTGACTTATAGCAACCCTAATCGGGTTTCCAAGGTAAGTGCAATATTTAAGGTGTGATTTTACCAGCTCCACACCTCCAGTGAGTTTCCATGTCTAAAGAGGGATTTGAACCTGGGTCTCTTGAGTCTTAGTCCATCATTGTATCCATTACACCACACTGGGTATTTTATATATTTTCTAAAACTGTAAAATGAAAATACTGAGATGAGGGAGCAACTAAGATAATAAAAGGAGAAACTCTAATTACATTTTCATTATCTCTATGAAAAATAATTTGGGTACATTGATGTAAGACCCACTATAAGTCTCCATAGAATAATAGTTATTGTGGGTTTTTCGGTGTGGTAATATTGCTTCTGTCCCTTAGAGAAAATGGCAAAAAGGATGTCATCCTGGGCTGTGATATTGAGGGACCTGGCAAGCACCTCTCCTGGTGTCCTCTGAAGATGCCGGCCACAGAGACTGGTGAAACGTTAGGAAGAACAACCTTCAGATCACGGCCAAAGAGCCCGAAAAACCCACAACAACTATTAGATCCCGGCCATGAAAGCCTTCGTGAATACATTGAATGTCTCCATAGTCTCTCTATGAATGGAACCTCCATCTTGTCTCTCTTAAGTCTCAACCTTTTTACCCTGAACTCATTCCAAAGCTGCCTACAGACATTGGCCAGGGGCCCAACAGCTTTCCCAGGATTAATACAGGGAAATTAAGATATAGAGCTCTGTTTCATCTATATACTGATGACTCATGGATGACTTCCCTCAGAAGTTCATATAAAATTGTTTGAAAGCATGTGTGATAATTTATAATATTGTGGCCTCTCATTAGCCAATGGCCACGTCATGAAACAGACATCTCATTACCATATTTTGAGATGCTCCTCCAGGAAGAGGGACAATTGCCCTAATCCATACCAACCTTTCTCCATGCTGAGATAAGTATCAGAGCCCTTATTATTTATCTGTTTTATATCCTACATTTCTCCCAGGACTAGGACTCAAAGCTACTTAATCAGGACATGATTTTTTAAAAAGCACTTACAAATAAAGCACAATGGCTGAAATCCTATTGCAGAACTCTGCAGGCATAAAGGCTGATGACGTTACCAACCATGGGTATTATCTTTAATTTAAAGTTACCCTAGATCTGAGACTCCCTAGGAATTGTTTTTGATGTGGGGAAGACTTTGGGAGCCCCAGGACAAAAGGAGGAAAGTCTTTACGGTCAGAAAATAACCACTGTTGGTCCTGCTGCTGAAAGACCAAGTATATTCCCATCCCTAAATCAAGGCTGACATTGGATTTGAACAGCTGTAAATAATCAGTGTGATCTATTGGTATCTGGAGTTGAGAGATCACCATTCACTTCAATGCCTTGCCTAAGAATGCCATCATAACCATCAGCTAAAGATGTGAAAATATTTCAGTTCTGATTTTTGTTGTCCTTTCCTGAATGTCACCTGTATTTATTTCTTAACCTTGTTTTGTGTTGGGTTCTGAGACTTCAGTCTATGTTATTTACTTGGAAATTAATTCACAGTTTTAAGGTATTTTTCCTAATGCTCCCATTTTTCTACATATTTAAGCAAGTATGCAGTTTCCCCCAATAACTAAAATGTGTCCATGCATTTAAAAAAAGAGGACATTTTACTCATTCACATTTTTAAATGTGAACATTGGTTTGTGCCCATAATTTCACTTACTGAAATGCCATACAAGTGTCATAGAAGTTAGAATTTCCTTGGCAAACTACATTTCCTTTTACAACAGGTCTTAGGGTGTGTGAAAATGGCTACTTTTCACTTTGTCGGCTCTAACGAAATTCTTTCCCATACCTGCTGCTTGCTCAATGGGCCGTGTGCATTAAGGATTCTGCAGTTTGATCTGGGGCATCTTAGCCTGAGGCTGGCAAGTAGCCTGATAAACTACCAGGGATGGGTATGCTCAGACCTCAAGAGCCCTCTCCAGTCACTGAAAAGAACAGTGGTGAGTGACAGCTAACTCTTTGACTGACAAGCAATATTAGGCTTGTAAACTGGCCAGGCCTGGTACCCTAGAAATCCGGCCTTCTGTTCTGCCTTTGACAGATCAATGCAGCAGTACATTTTGCCTGAGGCAATCCAGCTTAAGCTGTTGTGTTGGTTCTATCAGTAGTCCCAGGGGGGCTGAGTTGAAGAAACATCTCCCTAGGTCCATATTTGCTGGTCTTGACACTTTATTGCTTTGCTTTGTTTGAACTTACTCTTAATTTTTTTTTAAAGGGGGGGTTTATCTTTATAACCATGTCAGACTATGAGGTATAAGCATTGGTTGGAATACATATCTAAAATTCTGAACAGTCATTAGAGGGCATCATTTATCCAATGTAATGTCGCCAATGACTCAATAGCCCAAAAGTATGGTTTCAAATGGGACTAATTGCTGTAGTGCACTACTACCCTTCCTTGAGAGGCTTGGCTTTATTGGTTATGCAGAGGTCCTGGGAATGCAGTCTGAAAGTAATTCTCCCCGGACGAACGGCATCTAGAATAGCTGAGGAAGTGACAATTTCACAAGGAAGCAAGGGCTATAAACACTGCTGTTTTTTCACAAACTGTGTGCCAGAAATATTCCCCTCACTCTTCATCACAGCAGTGTACTATGAAACTCACAACGGAAAACCAAAGGGAAAGAGGGTTGTTCTTCCAAGAGGAAATTGTGGACATAAAAGCAAGAAGACATGTTCGGAAGTCAGAAAACCCCACTTCTGTTATTGGTGCTGACATTCAAATGGAGTATAAAGTAGCTTTCTTCACTGATGCACACACAGGATTACAGGTCTCAGATTTGGGACCTATGACTCCAGCTTGGAGGTTCATTCTCACACTGTGGATCTGGAAATTTAGGGAATGGAATGCCGCCCTCCCCAAGAGAAAGATTATTGGACATTTTGTTGATTTTTAAATACTACACATAATTATTACAACTCCTGCACAGAATGCTATAATTCCTAAATTGGATTCACATGGAAAGGGTAGACAGAACTTTAGGCAGCTCACAATTGTTTCAATTCCTTCAATGCCACCTTTTCTGCACAGATATCACTTGGAAATGGCAGAAGAAATGCCAACCTGCATAGGATTGTTACAATTGCTATACAGAATGGCATTTTCCCATGCCGAATTTGGCACAGGATAATGGGCAAGAAAACAAAACAACAAGAACAACCATAGAAAACAACACCGGGGTTGTGATTTCATGAGAAGGTCTAGGCAAGCCTGGAAGACTGCCAAGAATGAGACATTTTGTAACTACGTACTTCTCACACCCTAAACAGTGTTTAACTGAGGGCATGACCCGCGTGCGTCTAAGAGCATGGCAGCCAGCCAGAATGATCATGTACACCAATTATGCCATTTGGGGTTAATACGCTGCACAGATTCCCATAGGATTCTGGCTGATAAGTTCTATATTTCTTCAGAAAGGGCACTCATTAAAAAAAAAACACAAATGAAAAAATCAAAACAGAACAACCCGAAACCACAACCAAACATTTTAAAACTCTTGCAAATTACATGGACCAGAAACTTAGTAATAGCTTTAAAACTTTTTTTTAGATCCTCAGGAGATTGTAGCCCTATCTAACTTTTATTTTAGTGTTTCGGGGGGATAGGAAGCATGTGAAGAAGAAAAAAAAATCAATCATATGGATTATCATGTCCGCTGCAATGTGAAAGACTCCAAGAGA